TAATGCATCTCTAACAACATTCCTGTCAGATCACCCAGCCCTCTGAATCAGTGTTTGGGTTTTCTGTACTACAGCCTTTCTCTGTGGTCACAGGATCTTTGCCAGGAACTCTTTAGCCCCATTCCCACCTGTACCGGGTCGGCCCGGGCCGGGCAGCGTAGGTTGTTTACATATCTGGGTGGCCTGGAATTTTCCCAGGTCAACCAAGGCTCATTCTCAGCCCTCTTCTCAAGGGGGTCTGCTTCAGGCCGACCAGGGCCAACACACCCACTGCTGACAGCAAATTCACACCTTCCATTAGAGCAAGCCTCTGATTGGTGGGTAGAATCAGCCCACAAGGGCTTAAGGCATGCTCAATTCATTATCATTCATTATCATGCTGATTACCCAGAAGCTGAAAGTGTCTCTGACTGCATTCCTTGCATACCTAAGCAAGGATGTGTGGAATCAACCGGGCCAGGCTGGGGCCGACTGGGGCTACCCGGCCTGGGCCGACCCGGTACAGATGGGAATGGGGCTTTAGTCAATAGTAAAGTAGCTTGCCAACATGCTAGCACTGGAACGTGCTTTCAGCACATTTCCTGCATGTTTTCATAAACACAGCTGATTTGGTTGATTTTGATGAACCATTCCTGTAGAAACTAATGAAGACTAATTCAGTACGTTTTTACTACAGCGAATTAAAGTGGACTGTGGGGGGTGCTAAAAGAGGGCCAAAACTACAGAGTGAACTTGGTTTAATATCGATTTGCGTTTGATACTCTGAAGGTAAAGAGTAACAACACTTTATAATAACTACATCTTATTTAGCCTTAATTACACATGAACAAACACGTAAGTAACTACTAACAAATAATTAACAGTGACTCTTACTTAATAAACAATTAACCAATGTATTAATTAATGCTTTGTTTTTAATGATTATTCCCTTGTAAAAGCTGTTTACTCATGTCTTATTCATATGTAACAAACCATTAACAAAGTACTTTTAAGCAACTGACTAATGCATTAATTAATGCTTAACTAATAATGACTAGTTTCAAGTAAAAGCTGTTTATTTATGGCTTATTCATACTTAAACCATGAACAAAGTTTTTATTAATCCATTTATGCATTATTAATTAAGTGGAAAGCACGCTCCAGTGCTAGCATGTTGGCAAGCTACTTTACTATTGACTAAGAGTTCCTGACAAAGATCCTGAGAGGAGGAATCATGTGACCACAGAGAAAGGCTGTAGTACAGAAAACCCAAACACTGATTCAGAGGGCTGGGTGATCTGACAGGAATGTTGCTAGAGATGCACCGAAAATTCGACCGCCAAAAATTTTCGACTAAATATGACCTAAGAGTGCATTTTCAGTTTTCAGCCGAAACACCAAAATCACCTAAACAACACTGCCGAAACCACACCCACACACGGCCACCTTTGTTTAAGGGAGACACCACAGACGTTTCCATGCGTTTTTTTGCCCCGCCCACGTGCTCAGAGATTTCCTCGTTCCTGAGAAATTTTTAACCCGCTTAGAAAGATCAATATCAATGTGAACATGGATGCAAACATTATGAGAACACTAAAATGTGCTGTTTGATGCTACTAATTAGGGCAGAAATGAATCATCGAATGATTTGAATGGTTTGATTCATTAAATTCCTCCATAAGATTTTTACTGATTTGAAGCTCCACAGTCTGAACAAATCTTACTGGTGCACAGTGCTGTAATCTAGGTGCTGTGGAGGAAAATAGGAGGACCAGCAAAGACAGAAATCATTGTAAAAGGCAGAAACGGTCCAAGTTTGGGATACAGTTAAACACACCGCAGTAGGCCTATGGCAGCATGTAATTCACTAGCGCTTCTATATTTGAATACAACTTAGACTGTATTATGTTGTCAACCTGTACATAATATATAAGCCACCATGACATTGTTACTAGTAGAAATTAAATATTATAGTTTCCAGTAGCTTACTACTGAACATGTTACTGAAATAATGAAATTCTATATGAAACTATTTAGATATGACTAGGACGAGTGATATTAAACCTAAGATTTTAATGAAATGTAAGTATATATAAATGTAAGTTTAGATGGGAAAGAGGGAATAAGACAACATCAATTTAATACACATTGATGATCCCTTTATCATTTTGTTGTTTTATTTTTTTTAAATAATTTTAGCAGCAGACCACAGTATCATTTTACTTCCTTTGTAATCCTAAATGTCCCCAACTGAACCTCAAGGTGTCTCATTGGGCTGCTAATCCTGCTCAGAACAGAACTTAAACTTCAGTATGTGCTTATAGAGAAGGGTTATTGAGCTTTAGAAAGCTCTAGGGCAATTTGTGACTTATTAGGGCTGTACTGCCCTTACATGAACTAGTTCACCATTAATAAGACTGAAGATGTTAAGATGGACATGTGTGTTTTATTCAAACCTTTTACCTACAAGTGATATTAGAGCATCTCTTAAAGAAGGCATTGCTGTGGGGTGTACAGTGTGCCTAATCTTAGAACGTAGATTCAGGACCTGAGTGACTTGTGGCTCTTCAGCAGAACGCTCTAAAGTGTGTGTGTGTGTGTGTGTGTGTGTGCGTGCGTGCGACAAACATCTAGGCTGACAAGAACGTACCACTGCTAGGTTTATTTGCCCCCAAAGCTGCCCCACTATGGTTTAGTTGCTCAGAAGACACATTAAACCCTATAAAACCCCCGTTCTCAACGGTTTTGTACAATCTCTGCTAAATAGTTGGTTACTCATTTAAACATTTATCATTTAGACATGTGAAGGTGCTGATGATGAATTTGAGACCGAATGTACAGGACTTTAGAAAAATCACAATATGAATCTCAACTGAATGTGTTAGGGTTAGGAAGGGCAGACATTTTCCCGGCATTTTCCTTTCATCCCTCATGCGGCAACTTGCTCTTTGCTTCATAAAAATTGTACATTCGTACAGATTTTCTCTTTTAGTAACGCTGTTTTATTACGATCGCTGGAATATTCATATCAGTTACGTGATGCACCTTCTACTTTCAGTCTCACATCTACTGCATCTGCCAAGCTTTTTTTTTTTTTTAACATTCCTGCCACGTCTGTCACATTACCATTAACAACATAAAAAAATCATTTGGAGTTTTGGTTTTCGGCCTTGGGTCTCTCATTTTCAGTTTCGGCCAAGAATTTTCATTCTAGTGCATCCCTAATAAAGACTTGTGATGAATTACCACTACTCATGCACCTTCAGATGGAACAGAGACTTTGGGGACAGTGATCGGCATATTTTCACTACAATGTAGAGGGGTTGGTACGTATTCTGACAATAAATGTGTAGCTCACCGAGATATGTAGTCCTCTCAAAGTGAAACATCAGAAATGTGGAGATATGTCTCTTAGGTGTTGTGCTGAAAAGTACACACCTGCCTAAAAAAGCATTGTGGTGGTTAGGAAACCGCTTGGGGCATCACCACCTTAGCCAAAAGGGCCAAAAAACAAACAGCCATTCATCAAAAAAAAGTCAATTTTTCCCCAAATGTCTACATTTTAACAACACTTTAGGTAAAGGTTGAATTATAAATAAAAAAACGTAATAAATCCACTTTTTCTTCACTCCTTGCCATGTTCTGTACATTTAGGACATCGTTTTAGCTTTTTAGCCACCATCGTCTAAACCAGGTGTGGAGAGTAGAAAGAGTGACAGATTGACATGTAATGGGGTGTTACCTGGCACACTAATCGAATATCCAGACAGAATCAGAGCGGAACAATGGGATCTTCCATCCATGTTGGTATCAAGCCCATTTCCTCTTGACATGTAGCTTAGTAACCATAAAGAATTGAATGCTAGTGTTGGTAGTGTTCCTAACCTAACCCTGAAGCACAGCACCAGTACTGCACAAAGAAACAAACCTTAAGAGCAAAAGTACAGCACATAAATTACACACTTAAAGAGGCACCTGGTCTGACGAGGCAGTACTTCTAACTTTGTGTTTATAAAAATAGTGGGTGTCCATCAGTACTCTCAAAATGTTAACCTCAGCATGACACATGCAGTCTCATGCAGACACCCATCCCGCTCCCATCCTTCTCCCTGGTTCCCTTCACTCCATCTGGTTAGGACAAGACCAAACTGGCTGGCTTGTTGACCTGACACATGCACGGTATGTTTCCATCACAGGCTATTTAAAGACAGCAGGTTGTAGTCCTGCATTTTGAGCAACGGTGATGATCCGATGAGAATCTAGACACGAGCGCAGCATGCAATGTGGAATTATCAAATGGCCACGAAACCAAATCACGGACGGTATCCCAGCGTCTTCAAATCAGGACACCACAGTAACTGGGAGACGTTTGTTAGTGTTTTCTCCTGTAATAAACATTTTGAACTTCACCAGTTAGGCGCAAAATATGCTAAATGTGTCCTGGTAGAAGACAAGAGAAACATTTCTTGATTATTTTATATTTTATTTCCTCATTAAGCAGTTTTATATAAAATGGTTCATTACCTAACTCAAGTTTTGCCTCTGAACCAAAGACCAGCTGTTTATTTCTGATCAAAAAGAGAATGACGGCTCAGATTACTTAATCACAAGTTATTCTGGTTCACAAACTCACGTGACCTGTCTGAGCAACAGAGGGCTGTAGTGCGGTCGAATGAAACGGTCATAATGACAGAGATATAAGGGGATCTCACCATTACAAACCTATGTAGACCAAGCCAATTCACACAGCAAAATGAAAGTTTCAACAAACCCTTAAGTGAGCACAAGCATATATTACTATTAGCTTACCTCCAACGCACATACAGAAATGCTTTGCACATTATACTAACCAAACTAACCAATACTTCATTAAATTTAATAACTGACAACACTACATGTAAAACGGAGTTCAACATGAGGACTGCCGGTTTGATCAAAAATGAAAAGAATCCCACCTGTAGTTGCTGTAATTTACACTCCCATATAAAATCTTCACAAAATTAGGGTCCATTAACACTTACAGACACAGATGGTGGCAAGGAGTTTGGTGGCGACGAACGGAGGGAGGCAGTTCTGAAAAGCAGGCTGCAGGACGTAATTGGAAAAGGTGAGAGCAATGACGGCCAGTGTGGTTGGGTACATGATGAGGACAGCACTCCATAACAACAGGAAGCTGAAAAGTAAAAATAAAAGCATTTCAAAACATGGCTCAGAGTTTTTACAAGCTCTTTTATTCCAACTGTAACTTTAACAAGATGGCATTTCTAGTTGGAGCATTGTAGTCAGTTTTTAGTTTGACGAACACTATCGGAGATAAGAACAGATGTTCATGCAGAAGGACAAAGAGCAAGCCTGGCAAGCCAGAATAAATAAATATATATTATTTATCTTTCAAACTTTGCAAAGCAAGAATTTGGTCTAGTTCACTAGGCTAACAAAGAGCAGCGTGTTGGCAGAACATCAGCAGCTTGTCCAAATGATTTGTACCTACACTGTAGCATGAATAGGTCCTACTTTTTTGCTGCCAAAACAGCACTGATCTGTGTAGACTACGGGTTTGATAATGTACAAAACGCCAAGGGGAAAGTAGCACAGGTTTTAAGTCCTGGAAGATTTGGACTGTCTGGTGGCTGAGTTAGCATCTCAAATGGCGCTTGCACATTAGCGTCGGCACGGCCCCAAAACGTACCGAATGGTACCAGAATTTGGTTTCACACACAGGTCAGATTTGCGTTTTTGGTGCCGAGGCGACAGTTTTTCCTCAGACCTTTTCCCCAGTGGTCAGACTGGGACCGAGGCGACACTACGGACCGATTGGCCAGCTGAAATTACGCCGACCGCCTCCGATATGCGAGAAGAAAGAGCCAGCGGGGGGTTTACCGCATGCACAATTCATTTGCACGCTGGATGCTGTTGAGCAAACGTCTGTCTGTAGCACGGAGCTGCCGTTAAGTGTGTGTGCGTGTGTGTGTGTGTGTGTGTGTCTCACATGCAGCAAATTCATAAAACAATGTGGTTCAGTCTCCAAAAGCAACACAGCTCATGCCCGCCTTTTGTTTACCTTATGGAGCAGACTTTCCAGCGCATTTTAAACCCCGCCCACAGGCTCTGGGATTTCCGCATTCCTGAGAAGTCCCTCAGATTTATATGTGAACACTACACTGCCTGTTCGAGACTGGGCTCACGCCATCCAGCCCGACCAAACCCCGACCGTGCCAACGCTAATGTGTAAGCGCCATAACTGACTGGTTGGTTCCTCAAACCACTGATGGCCCACTTTTGCAGTGAGACCTGCCACGCAAAACATATTTATTTTCCGAGAAACCTGCTGATCAGTGTTATTTAGATAGCACATGCAAAATAAACAGTAGCATTAGTTTTATTGCTAATGTCTCACACTTTCCTCTGTCCATACCATTTCCTAGGGTCATGTATTTCTCAGACTACAGGTAAATTTACAAGCACTCAGACTTTACTGTGGCTATGATCCATTCACTACAAAGTGACATGCATTTCTGTATATTAGTCTGTGCTCACTTCTGATTCGGGTCGGTAACAGGGGCGAAAATCCCTCATCGTTGGGGGGGGGGGGGGACATTAGACAGTAAAAATTTCAGGAGTGATTCCTGAGGAGGACATGAAAAAAAAAAGCTTTTTTTTTCATGTGCTGATGCGTCTTAAAAGTCTCGTATATTATTAAATGATAGCTCATGTTCTTTATTAGTCCATAGTCCAGACCTGTCTACAGGTTTTTGGTTGCTCTACCAATAATACTAAGAGTAGTAAGACTAAGATAGGAAGGTGTCAATTAGCTACCCCATAGATGACCTAACAGAATATAATTGCTCACCGTGAACTTTGGTCTGATCTCTACTACAGCAGCTCAACAAGAACTCAAAGCTCAAATCAGTTTTAAATTAGAAAAATAAATAATTTAATGAATAACTAAACTACATAATTCTTCAAAATTATGTATTTATTGAACTGGTAACAAACAACAACTGCAACAAAATCTGAACATAATCACAAAACCTAAAAATACACAAACCTTTATACAATAAACTTATACAGTGCGACATAGGGTGTATAAATAAAATAAATATCTTTATGGGAACTGAACCACCAACTCTCAACACACTAGACATATAATGCACTGTATTACACTAAAACACTTCTCCACATAAGAGAAAAGAAACATTATTCAAACAAAAGAACCAAATGTTCTTCTGGTGTTACTGGATCCAGATGGATTGGTATATTAGAGGAAAATATGGAGTGGAAACTACCAGTCAGAATGTTACAAAATGAATATCTGTTAACGGAATATCTATGTCAAAGGTAGAACTATATTTAAAAATAAAATAAAAATAAAATAAGACAAAATCTGAAATAGAAAATTAGATTTTAAGTAATAATATCCAACATAAATGTAAAAATCTGGAGAATATTAAGAAATGTAAAATGACAGTGAAACAAGTTAGTCTAATATTTGTGACATTAATGAGAGGATGCTGGCAGTGTGTCAATGGTCTATCCTCTCTCTTACTGTCTTTCTTTCTAGCTCCGGGAGTTGACGTCCCTTCTCCCGGCATGCAACAGTTCAAATCGAAACGGCGCCATATTGGCAGGCAGAAGCCCGCAGCTGGACTATTTGTTATTGTCATAAAACTCAATCAGACAGGAAATATGGTAGATTCCTGTTGTGCCCCAGGATGCAGAACAGACGCGGACGGCATAAGGAATGAGCCATCTACAGGATTCCCCAAGATCCGGAGCGCCGCAAACGTTGGATGATTGTAATAAAAACACACTAGTGACCGGGCTTAAATGAAGCTGTGGGATCCCGAGAGCAAAGCTTTTCGCTTATGCAGCGACCACTTCATATCAGGTACTTAAACCAACGTTTCCTCAACTGTGTATGGTATTTATTTTAAATGCTTTTATTACGATTCTTAGTGGGCTTCCTAAACTTATTTTGGCGTGGCTTTTTCTGTCTTATTACTCATAGCAACAAGTAAACATCACGTAAAACGTTGCCTCGTGAGTTCTGCGTGCTGCCGTTTACGTGTCTTATGATCACAGCAATTAACCGGCTAAGCTGTGTTTAATTTTTAAGCAATGGTTGATCAATTGTCAGATCACACATAAAAAGCACTTTGGATTGCTATTATCTGTCTCACCGAGACAGATCTCAGACAGATCCTGAGACGCTCCTGCCTGACATATTTATTTTATTCACGGAAAACAATCAAACTAGTGATTTCTCTTTAGGTAGTCTCCTACGGTTCTCTAGCTCGCACCAAAATGGACGAAAGGGCTTTTGTTCACTCTGCTCCTTCTGCATGGAACAGGCTGCAAGAAAACTGGAAATTAACAGAGTTTATCTCCTTGAATACATTTAAATCCAGACTAAGAACCCTTGAGACTGATTCCCTGTGTTGTAAATGCCTTCTGTAATTTTGTACATAACATGTCTGTGTAACTGAAAAACTTATCACTAGCTTTTGCTGCTAGGACTCCCTTGAAAATGAGGTCTTTAGTCTCAATAGGACCATCCTGGATAAATAAATAAAATTATATATATGTGTGTGTGTGTGTGTGTGTGTGTGTGTGTGTGTGTGTGTGTGTGTGTGTGTGTGTGTGTGTGTGTGTGTGTGTGTGTGTGTGTACCTATTTGATGGCAGTTTTTACTTTTTATTAGACTGATAGACTCCAAATGCAATTATTTGGCATGTTCCTAATTTGTAATTTGTAAGAGTGTAATCGGCGATTTTTGCATTAGCATCCCTATGGGTTTTTCAATGTATATTAGCACTGTGTTAACCACTCGCTACCAGTCAAATCGCAGCCTTTGCGATTAGAAAATTTCCTTCTGTCACATCATAATTTAACTGCATATGCAGTTAATCATTCAGCCCTATTACTGATTTCTAACAAGCGGTTACAAGACAGTTGCCATTTATAAATGTTGTTTTACACAAATACCCCTTTCCTCATTGCCAGTGATGTGCTTGTCATTTTGCTGGAGGTTGCGCTCCCAAGGATTTTTGACCCTAATGGCCATCCGTTGGTAAGGTCTTAGTCAAACACAAAAATACTGCTAGCTTGCAATGATTTAGGCATGTACTGCCCCCATAGTCAGGAAAAATACTAGAGGTGCTGAAAAAAAAAGAAATCGATTCAAGTCTGAATCAGGATTCTTATTTATAAAGATTCAGAATCGATTCCAAGAACTCAAATATTTCGCATGTTACAGGTTTGAGATGCACTTTTTTGATCTTTGTTAGGAGAGTCAGTACTCCGTTTACTTTTGTGGTCCCATAAATTGAGATGATTTATGTTTGAATCTGCTGATATGTAATTTTTTTCCATACTCAGAAATTTGAGATATTCTCATATTTATTTTCTAAGTTGATAAATGAGTACTCAGGATTACTCATGTAACTTGTTTCTACACATACTTGAAAAGTATTTGACTGTATTTCTTTCAAAGCTACTGTTGGGTAACTACAGATTTGTTATATTTTACAAGGTAAGCAAAAATAAATGTTGCCTTTTGGTCAAAAGATTGCTTCTGTTTACAGTTATAGAATCACTTTATTTTACATTGTAAATTTGCATCGATCCTTGGTCCTCTGTTGTTTGCCATGTATCTGCTTCGTCTGGGGTCAATCTTTCGTAAACATGGCCTATCATGCCATCTCTATGCTGACGATTGCCAGATTTACTCTCCATTGTGTCAAGATAAAGGTCACTCTATCTAGTCCTTTGTGTCCTGTCTTAACAAGGTGAAGTCTTGGATAATGGCCAACGTTCTGCATCTGAATGAGGGAAAGACAGAGCTCATTGTTTTTCACCCCAACAGCAGGGCTGTGGGTTGCTATGTTGATCTTGGCCCTCTTTCTCCCTACTCAAAACCAGTTGTCACCAGTTTGGGGGTGAAAATTGATGCTGGACTTAAATTTGATGCTCACATCAACTCTGCAATCCGGTCCAGTTTCTTTCACCTGAGATGCCTTGCAAAAATCAAGCCTATGCTGTCAAGAGCCCACCTGGAGTGGGTACTGCATGCGTTTGTAATTTCTAGGCTTGATTACTGCAACTCTCTCTATGCAGGGTTGTGTCAGTCATCCCTACAGGTTGTGCAGAACAGCGCAGCCAGGTTCCTGACTGGGACCAGGAAACGGGACCACATCAGTCCGGTTCTGGCCTCCCTGCACTGGCTTCCGGTTGCAGCCAGGTTCCTGACTGGGACCAGGAAACGGGACCACATCAGTGCGGTTCTGGCCTCCCTGCACTGGCTTCCGGTTTGCTATCGTTCACACGTCAAACTCCTCGTGTTTGTTTATAATTTCTTCCAGGGTGGTGGCCCCCCCTATCTAGCCACACTCCTGAACAGGCATTCCCCATCACGCGCTCTGCGCTCCTCCGACCAAGGCCTGCTCGCTGTCCCTCGTTCTAGGTATCGTACTCGCAAGGACCGGGCTTTCTCAGTCCTAGCACCGCCACTCTGGAACCAGTTGCCACCCTCAGTTAGGCTGTCCCCATCTCTGCCAGTCTTTAAGAGTCACCTAAATACCCACCTCCTCCGCTTGGCGTTTCCTGAATGTGTTTGAATTTGGCCCTCTTGTATGTTGATTTTATTTCCCTGTTTTCATTGGTTCACTCTATCCCTTGTTTTACTCATTTGTCTTCTACTAGAATGTTTTACCTTTTTTTGTAATTTGTAATTTGTAATTTGAATTGCTTTTATTTTCGATTTATTCACCATATTTAACTTTCTCTTGTACCATGTTCAGCGCCTTGGGCTTCCCGATAGGGTTGCGGAAGGCACTTTCTAAATAAAGCTTGGATTGATTGATTGAAGTATCTCAGGGTCTTGTTCATGTGTCAGGGAAAGCTGGAGCGTGAGATTGATAGGGTGATTGGTGCTGCGTCTGCAGTGATTCGGGCGTTGTACCGGTCCATAGTGGTAAAAAGAGAGCTGAGCCAGAAGGTGAAGTTCTCAATTTACGGTCAATCTGCGTTATTACCCTCAACTATGACCACGAGCTTTGGGTAGTGACCAAAAGAGCAAAATTGCGGATACAAGCGGCTGAAATTAGTTTTCTCAGCAGGGGGACTGGGCTCTGCCTAAAGAGATAGGGTGAGAAGGTCATTCATCCGGGAGGGGCTTGGAGTAGATCCGCTGCTCCTCCACATCGAGAGGAGCCAGTTGAGGATGCACAGGCATCTGGTTAGAATGCCTTCTGGACGCCTCCCTGGTGAGATTTCTGGGCACGTTCAACTGGGAGGAGACCTAAATGGAGATCCAGGACACGTCGGCTGGACTATGTCTCTCGCTTGGCCAGCGAATGCCTTGGGATTCCTCCAGAAGGGCTGGCCCAAGTGGCTGGGGAGAAGGAAGTCTGGGCTTCTCCACTTAGGCTGTTGCCCCCATGACCAGACTCCGCATAAGGGGAAGAGAATAGATGCATGGATGGATGGATAGTTTGCCCCAGTCAGTATTGAGCCATGGTTGCTAAAAACTTTAAAAGACCGACTGACTTTAGTGATGTAGTAGGTGTAAAATATTCAATAAAATGTTGTGTTGCATGACAGGCTTTATTTTTACTCTCACATGTTACTATACGACCTGGAATTTTACAAGTAGATCTCCAAAACCACCTCCAAGTGTATTATGGGTTAAACTCATCACCAGCCATCCTCCATTATCATCAGTCACTTTTCAACAGATACTAAACTAGGTGGGTGACTAACTGGGAAGAACAAATTGATAAGGTCTTGGGGATTATTTAAGTTCCATTTTCAAGACAGACTTTATCCAGAGAAACTGGACATCATTACAAGAGGCCGCCCAATCCTGTCACTAGCTTGTCTCAGCCAGAGGCGACTCTCAGCCTTGGCCTCCATGGCCATAGAAAAGGACTTACTGATGGAACTAAAACACAGAGACAGCTCTATGACAAAGTTACCTAAGTCTTCCTACACAGAGAGGATGGATTTTGTCTATAAACAATCAGCAACTTTGGTGAGTTTTATTAATTTTAATTACACATAAAATCAAATTAATAAAAACATCTTTTTAGCTATTGATCATGAACTGCGGCCGGTAGTGGCGCAGTTGCGGCTGTAATGTAGAGGTTTGAAACCAACCCTAACTCATTACTAAATAATTGAGTAAACAAACACCCATGCATAAACTCTAAATTACACGGCGTCCTGTCGCTCCCTCACCTCTCTTGGTGCAGTCTGTAAACAATCAGCTAGAGATCCAATCATTCCAGTCAGAGTAATTTTATTTTTCTCCTCTGACCTGAAGCAGGCAATCCAACCTTTTCCAGTTGAGTTTCTTTGATAGGAGTCCAACAATGTTGATCATCAACAGAACACAGTTTGGTGTAATTTTGCCATAAAGAATCAAGCTTACAATCCTGTTTCTGCAACACTTTTAAAATCCATACAAGTTGATCTGACTGCTATTAACAGAAGTAAAATTGTTTAACTGCACAGCAGAATATCAAAAATCCTTGTTGATGGACGTGATGAGTTTTGGAGACAACCCCATGAGAATTGAGTCTCCTATGCTCAACCAGTTTTATGTATTTATGTTTTTCCAACCAGACTTGACACATCCCTCCAAAATATCACAGTTATATTATAATAAAAAGTGTACAGAAAATAAAACAGTTTAGCAAAGTATTTCAATGACAAACTAAAGTTTAAAATAATAAATCTTTGTGCTTTGTTGCTGGTGAAGGTTCTCAGTCATCCATGTCATGGTAATCAAAAGGGGTTTGAATGAAGGGAACTGGACTTTGAGGAGAACTGACAACGCTCCTCAGAGAAGTGAAACGTGTTCAAGAAACCAAAGAAGTCCAGTTGCCTTCATTCAAACTCTTTTGGATTTGTGCTTTGTTGCATCAGTGGGTTTTCTGTTGATTATTTTCACACTTGCAATTATCTTAGCTTAAAGAGCAAGTCACCCCCAAATAAACTTTTTTTTGCTGATAAACTAAATAAACGAGTGTCTAATCGTGCTGCAGACACGTGTCGTCAATAATTTGGCACTTCAGTGCATCTTAGTTAAAATTTAAATATTCTGCCTAAAACTGGCAGTGTTGTGCCGTTGTCAGGTAAAAACTCTGCACTGTATTTTAATTTAAATCTGCCACCGCTATTGGCTAAGAAGTATGCTATGATGTAAACTGGTACATTATGATGTCACAATGCTGTCGTGAGCCTGAGTGTGTGTGTATTTGTTAGCGGCTCCACCCTCTCGGTCTGCCAGGCAACAGCATGTGTTGCATTTTTCAAACATGAAGTGGGAGTGGTAGACTCTGGTAGGGGTTGACTTGCTCTTTAACTTTTCTAGTTAACGTAAAAATCTATGCATCCAGTGAATAACATGTAGACGTGTTACATGTGCTCATTTCAGCTGAACACAAAGCAAATAAACCAGTCTTACCAACCCTGAACTGTTACTTTGTAATACAACTCAAAGGTCAAGATGTGGTAATCTGCTGGGGTGCTTAAGGAATACTTACCCCACAAGCCCACCAAATATTTCCGTCACATATGAATAGTCTCCTCCAGACTTAGGGATTGTAACACCGAGTTCAGCATAGCACAGGGACCCAAGTGCACAAATCCCTCCTCCACAGACCCAGACGATGAGTGACAGTCCCACTGAGCCTGCATGCTCCAACACACCTTTAGGTGAGATGAAAATCCCAGAGCCAATGATGTTCCCTGTAGAAGGAAGGTTAAAATTTTTATAAAAAAATAAATAAAAAATACTTAGGTCTAACATTACAGTGTGATCAATGCATCTGTGAACCTATAAACTCTTGCACAATAAATAACTTCAGCAAATGCAGAAGGTCAAAGATTAAAAATGACATCAGCAGCACACTTCTTTTATTTCAGATCATACAGAAAACAAAAAGCTGTCGAGCTCATGCATGTGTGCGAGTACCTGTAGAGTGAGCAAAGCATCTCAAAAACACTGAATGTGAAATAAGCCACCATTGGCTGCATTTCCACAGTGAATGAAGACAGCCACCATATCCAATCAACAATAGGGAGCCTAAGACACGCCCATCTACTTCTGGACCATGGGTCCCCGGAAGAATGAAAAAAAATGAATGCAAGTCAATGGGGCTAAAATGGCGTCATTTTCTAATTCCGCTTGTTATGTGCCATGGATTTCACATAAGATGTCCATGAATTTTAAACACACATTTTTATATCAAGAAAGCGCTTATTTCTGAACGTGGGGAAATGCTATTTTAGGTTTTGTGTAAAAATACGTCCAGAACTACAAATGCGCATCACAAAAGTGATGTACCGGTAATTAAACCAGACACGGAGAAAAACAGCAGGAAAATGGCTGTACGTTAAGCAAACTTCAAATCCTTCCATCAGGAGGAAAGAACCACCATAAATCTGGTCATGTGGTAAGTATCAGTTACGCTAGGTGAGAGGAGATTCTGTGGTGATGTCATACATGCGACGTGCCGACGTCCGATTTGTAGTCACGCTAATTACGAACTTTTACAAGCTGATAAATCTCAAAGTACATGACTGGCGTGGTTGAAACACACGTCATTGCTTTTTATTTAAATTGAAGTAGAACATGTGTGTGAACCAGGGCATAAGTCAAAGCGGATTAGACAATAGCTCTTCTAGTCCCGCTGACTTGCATTAATTTTTTCATTCTTCCAGGGACCCATGAGCCGACTGGAAAGGGAGACATAGGCTCCCTATAGCTCAATCAAATCATACTATAAACAAGTTAAATTTACAGAAGTTTAGGTAAATGTTATGTTTTAGTACCTGAATGAGATACTCAGAGAGCCAACCATCATTCCTTCAGTGAGCACACAGTTTAATGAGTTTAGGCCATTTCATGTGGATGAGCTCTGACAGACCTGACAGTTTCTTCTTCTTAGAGGGTGATTTGTCTCAGACAACTAGTGCTGTCTACCAACTATTTTCTGCTGTCAGATGAGCTCAACAACAACAAAGTTCTAGCCTAGAAATCTAGCCAGACCGTAGCACAAGGTCAGTCTAGCTTCACTTCATTGGAGCCTCAGCAGGCCCAGTCTTGTGTGTTGCCAATCACAGCGCTCTGTTTGATGGGCGGGATTGATTACTGCGACTGAGCGAAACCAAGATGGTAACAGCTCATTTAAAATTAAAGTAAAAGTTTCATTTAGTCATCATCACACACTGGTGAAATTACATCTGCGCATTTGACTGATCCTCATGGGGATCAGTGAGCTACAGCGGTGGCCTCGCTCAGGAACTAAACTGGTGGTTTAAGCCCCCAATCTAACCCCTTAAAGCTGAGTGTCAAGCAGGGAAGCATTGGGTCCCATTTTTAGAGTCTCTGGTATGACCCGACTAGGGCTGCAACAACGAATCGATAAATTCGATGAAAATCGATTACTAAAAGCGTTGGCAGCGAATTGCGTCATCGATTCGTTGTGTCGCACAACTCTTCCAAAAGCGCCCCCCCTTCCCGGCCGCCGTTGCGCGCAGACAGATCAGCGCGAGGGAAAGCCGTCAGTTGTTTGGAAGAGGAACATGGCAGAAGCAGCGAGAGTCAAAAAAGTAAAAGCTTTTTAAGTTTGGGAGCATTTTCAGTTAAATCAGGCGAAGACATGAGTTACCTGCAACGTTTAGGTCAGACTTGGCATGGCACGGGATGATGCAGCGTCTTAAACGCAAGCATGTCGGGATCATCAGCGAGGAAGGAGAAAACTCTGTGTCCGGGTAAATTAAAAACTTTTCAAAAGTGATTCATCCAAGTCCCGGATTATTACACAGGCTAGACATGCCCTAAACTCGTAAAAAAAGAGTCTAAAGTCGTGAGCGCGACGCTTATTAGATGAGCGGGGGGACTCGCGCTGCTGCGAACCGGTTCCAAGGCCGGATTAACTGGGCAATTGCCCAGGGCCCACAAACTCTAAAGGGCCCAGGGCACGAGCAAATTACTGTATCTATAATTTTCCGCTTTATGAGGACTATGGTGACCATACGTTCCGTTTTCCCCGGACGTGTCCACTTTTCACTCTCTGTCCGGCGCGTCCGGACTGCGGGTTCTTGTATTGATGAAAATGTCTGGCTTTTCATCCAGGAGCAGGGATAGAATTATGGGGGAGCTGTATATCCTACACATCCAGGTGAACCGGAAAAAGTTTTCTATATTATATCATTTTTGGACTCTTTTGAGCAGAGAGCGGCACAGCGCATTTTTGCGCAGCGATCCAGGCAGCTGCGTCCAGCGCACGGTCCATTCTCAAAGTGGCGCAACCAAAAAAACTATAATTAGCACACGATCGTTCATGTCTGCACATGTTCTCTATTTTCTGTCCTATTTAGCGCTCTGCTACTGCGGAGGTCATCACCTGTGCTGCGGTGATTTCACCTCACGCAGCATCGAAAACGCGCTCTGCGCTTTGCGGTCAGGAGATCCCTTTGATCTGCTCAGAAGTAACTGATGAGGTGAAAAAGTAAGAATCCAGGCAACAGTTTTTCTGGAGAATTAAGAGGAGATGCAGGAAGATGAGAGACAGACAGGACAGGAAAATAGTTAAATAAAAACAAGAAAACAAAACAAAGTGTTGAAAAGTAAAATGTAGGTAGATTTATCTCCACTACACGTTTTTACCTGTATAAAACAATAAGTTACACACATGTAATATTTATAAATTTGATACTATTCAGGTCACCTTCAACACTCAGTCACACACCCAGGGCCGTTTCAAGACATTTTGGGGGCCAAGGCAAAATGCCCCACCCCCCATAACTGGGCTCCCCAGAAGCCTCTGTGTAATTCATACCCTCTCCAGCAGTGTTAGTTATACAGTGTTTATAAAAGCCCCTCAGGCATTACTGACATGTTCTAATATTATCAGATGAAAAACTAAATTATCAGACATGCTGCCTCATCTGCTTCTTTTCTAAACTTGCAGAAAGTAACAAAACCATTTGAAAGCCACTATTTGTGGATTCTCTGAAAGTTTCCATGGAGTGTGTGACAACTTATTTTTTCAGTCATTTTTGGAAATAGTGATCAATTTTGATTAATTCACAGCCTATGTTTAATTACATTTTAAAATTAGTTGTTTGACATCCCCAGTTATAATAAATGTCTACAGATGAGATCAAACAAAACAGATGAGAATTGCCCTTAAGCTGTTTAATTGGACCAAGCATTTTAGGTCACAGATAGATGTAGCTTAGGGTCTCTGTCTATACACCTTATAAGACAATTTAGGTGATGGCATGTTGTTTTTCTGCTATTGAACTGTTTTCTAATAATGTTGTGTTAAATAAAGTGAAGGAAGGAGAGAAATAACGTTTCCCTAGCAGTTTTTAAAAATTTCCCCATGTAATCCGATTAATCGATTAATCGTGTCGAGACCCCATCCGATTCATCGATTATCCAAATAATCGTTTGTTGCAGCCCTAGACCCGACACTTCCCTGAATATCTTCACAATCAAAAAGCTGATGCATGCTGTGTTGTATAAATAAGCACTGAATTTATTCAAATGTGCTTTTTAAGCTGAAAATATAATATTTGTGCAATGATGGGTAAAATAATCTACAAATAAAAACATTGAAAAGATTATTATGAGTAAAGCTCAATACTTAAGCCAATTTAGCCAATACAGAAAAAAACTAGGCTACTCATCAGCCCAATGTTCTGTTAGGAAAACCTCCACACTGAAAAAGCACCCATCCATGGCACTCGGTCAGTAGGACATCAGTTGGTCCTCTACAAGTGCTGGATCTTCAATTAGCATCTGGTCTCCACAGTTTGGAGGCACCTGGGGGAATCTGGCTGGTTCCAGAGATGCTACCCAAAACCCACAGGGTCCAAAAGATCTCATAATGGTGCCACATACTCTGGAACACCTCCAGATTTTCCTTGTCCACAAACGATCAGAGCAGTTTGTTGAAAAAAGTAAGACACTAAAAATGTGCTTGTAATGTTGTAACTAAGAATTGAATGCAGCCATAACTCTCAACCTAAACTAGTCATCTATTCAAAGTCGTCCAAAAGTATAGCAGGAACACAGCTCGTTAGAGTTCTAGCTCAGCTGTCCCTTGAGCAGGGACAAGCAGAGGTCTCCTGATGGTTCACTTGGCTCAGATACATACTGTACCAATAAGCCATCATGTTATGGGGTCAACTTCAGTCTGGTATTTATGACATCACTCCTTCCAACCCAAACAAAAGAACTACTACACGTAACAAAGTAACCAAACAGCAGCTGTCAAAGCAAAACTTGTTTTGCGCTGACCTCCATGGCTTCCCCTTCTTTGGGCAAGTTTGGGACAAAGAATCGACAAAAATAAGCCTCCATCAACTGTACACATTCTAACTGTTAAAACCCAACGAAGCCCGCCATGGCTCGGAGAGCGTCCTAATGATGCAAAGCAAGACAGGAGGTCCGGGGAGCACATTTATCACTGTCTGATCTGATTGTGGGGGCAGCGTTGAGATGCAGAGCCGTTACATAAAGCCTGTGTTGGGTTTGTTATGTCACGAAGTTTGGCATTGCAGCTAAAAGAATGAATCAGAGTGCCATCAGCCCTCGCAGTCCTCCCCACACTATAGCTGTGAAAGTGCCATATAATTTTAGCTCCAATCCATCACTGTTTCATTAAAAACCTTCCTATGAACTTCTGAGGTCGAAATTATTTACACTAAATGTTAATCTACGGCTGTAGGCGCCATGTTATTTATGTTCTTGGATCTGAATTTGTTTCTAACAAATTCAATAAAATAGAAACTGAAAGGTTGGGATTTTTCAGCAGAGGACATATTTCACAAAAAGTATCTGAAATATTGACGGAGCTGGTAAAATGAAAACAAGAGGTGCCCAAACCTGATCCTGGAGGGCCACGGTCTAGCATGTTTTAGTTGTTTCTCTGCTCAAACACACTTGACTCAATGGCTGAACCACCTGATCAGCAGCTCTGCAGAAGCCTGTTAATCACCTGTTGATGTGGTATGGTATTGAAATGGTACGTTGAAGCAGGGAGAAAACTACAAACCTGCTGGATACCAGCTCTCCAGAACTAGGATTGCGCACCCCTGAATGTTTGCACCGTTTCCTAGCACACATTATTCAAGTGTGCTTAGTATTACTAGATAACACTAAGCATGTCTACATTGTGCACAAATATCTTCATTTATTACAGATTTTCATGTCTCGGTTACTGGATGTGCTTCTTTTGTTATGCCAATAGGCAGAATGTTTACCGCGTAGCTCTGATGTTATATTCTGATATGTACAGGAGAAGACTTCCCATGTGGCTTTTGTCAACCCCCTATGAAACATTCAGTATGTGAGGGGGGTCAAACGCTAAAAAGTTAGTCTTTTACAGTCATGTTGCAACGGTATATTGCAAGACACTTGATGCACCAACATGAACTGCATCATCCATCCATGTTCCACTTTCAGACTGTGACAGGGTGAACAGGTCACTGGTTCATCACAGGCTCACACAGCAGCAGTTATTCACTCATCTAGTGACTATTTAGAATCTCTAACCTTGCATACATATTTGGGACTGAAAAATCCAGACAAAACCCACACGTGCTCAGGGAGAGCATAAAAAAGGTCCCAGAAGGGAGTCAAACCTCTAACCCTCCATCTTTGAGGTAATGGTACAAAACCACTGCACCATCATGCAGCCCCCAAATCCAATGATTAAATAACAAGTCAAACCTATGTTTTTAAACTGACTTAGATTAAAAATCCAGAACTTGTGTGCGTTTTTCCTTATTGGTGCATTTCTTTCCCAATTTAATAATAAAATCTGTATGAGCATAGAGATCACAACATTTGGAGGAAATGCCGCACATTGCAAGAGTAAGCACTCAATCTGTGGGTAGAGTCTGGTGAGTAGAAGCAAGAGGCATGTGTGCATCTTTGGTTTTACTCATTTAACATTTAAATCAACTGATTTTTAAAGTAAATTTAGACAAGGGCTGTCCCGTTCCGATAGATATTAAGTCGATATCAGCCCCAAAACAGTGTATCAGATTATATCAGACTGCATCAAAAAACTCCAATAGAAGCAGTCCGTTAAGGTTCACATTTTTGCAACCAATGGTTTTTTTTAAATGCCATTTTTGTCCCACTTACTGTTATTGGCTCTTATTCTCTGCTTGAGTAATATCACTTCATCAAGCCTTACATACATTCCACACTACGAAATAGGTAAAAGTATGTATGATTTGGGCCGATATCACGTCAAATTGAAATCGGTATCGGTCAATACTGAAGGCTGCAATATCGGTATCGTATCGGAAGTGAAAAAGTTGTATCGGGACATCCCTAATTTAGACCTTTATATTACCTTTAAGGTTTTAATAATATTTAGATAATTACTTGTGACTATTTTCTCTGCATATTGCGGAGCAGTACACTCACCCTTTGTTAGAAAGCCAACAGTTATTGCCATACAACCCATGCCAAGAAGGAACAGTTTTCTAAATGTAACCATAAATCAGACAGGAGGTAAACAAAGTTTGGAGGACCATTCCCCAGTTTAGGTCTAGTTGTTCCCAATACACACTTCTCCATATCTTTCATGACAATTGTAAAGCAAAACACTTTAGAACTTAGAAAACAGCATGGTGAAGAGACAGGAAGAGCGCCTGTTCTCGCATTCTCTGCGCATTACCCAACTATAATACTAACGGGGCAAACGCATCAGTTTGATTTAGTCCTTCTGATGTGACCCGGGCCACAGTCGACACCTGTCATCGTGTCTACGCAGCGGAGCGTTCTCAGACCGGTCAGCCCAGTAAAGCCGAACGTCACATGCTTTTCTCAGCTGTCCCACTGAACCACATGGAGGCTGTACCGAAGCTCAGCCACGTAAGCATCTCCACTCACATCTCCTAGACTGATGCAACAGTTTCCACCAAGTCTAAAATATTCTGCAGAGCTCCAGCTTACAGCTTCCGGGCGTCACACACACTTCTTAGTGCGTGTATTTAGATTGTTTTGTGTACAGATCTGATTAAGCACACCATGTGACAGCTGAGAGGGAGTGTGTGTGTGTGTGTGTGAGTGTGTGAGTGTGTAATCTCTACGGCTGACTGGGTCTTGGTGTGTGTGTGACACCAACTTTTAACAAAAGCAGCAGCGGCCACGCTGAACTGCTCCGACCAAACATTTGATTTAGTCACCTTTCAGCTCGTGAGTTCATCATTTAGCTCTGAAAACTCACCGATGATAATAGCGCACGCGCTCAAAAGTCCTATTTCTTTCTTCAGCGTGACTTTGTCGTCGTCGTTTGCGTTTTCATCCTTCCTCTTCCCTTTGTCATCCATCTCCTCCGGTTGGAAAATGCGCTTCCTCGCCGCCTCGGTCCGGTTCCGACTCTGTGGACTGAATCACGCTCCACTCTCCTGGGTACCCTCGTAATATCCTGGACGGATGGTCTGAGGGGGGACGTGCGCATGCGCCGCATTCCCAACCCCCGTTTCAGGTAGGCTGACGTACGGGTACGTCAGGATTCAGCGCAAGCACACCTGAACCTGAGGGAGAAACACATTTGCGAGCCATTTCCATTAAAAGCCTGATGAAGATCAACATAGTCCCATTTACATCGGATATTACACTTTTAGCACCAAAATAACTTCTAATATAAAAAACAACTAAGATTTAAACGCCAGAGGAGTGTTTCCTACCAGCTTCCCTCAGGGTATGGGGTTGGTCATTCCTCTGTGACATGTCCGCATACTCTCAGAGAACTATTTCAACCAAATGGAATCTTCTAATCACTGTTAAATCAGACCGTCACACAGCTTCAGTGCAAGTCTACTGACACGATCGATATTAGAGATCCAGACCAACAGAAATAGAGCAGTAGTTAGTAGTTTAGGGCTACCTAATCTAAAACATCCGGGTGTTCTTAAAAAATAATAATAGGAGTAAAATTATTAGCAGGTAAAATACATGAGAATAAAAAAATAAACTCATAGTGTTTTAATGTTCCTTGGGGACTTGTGCAGTGCAGTTCAACATTAAATTACATTTTGTAAGAACCAGCAGAACATTTGAGTTTGCATGTTTTGTTGATTTTAACAAGCACTAACATGCAAATAATATTACATTAATTCCCACATGATTCCAAAGGCTATCAAACCAAACAATTTTAGATTTAGAGTAAAACGGTTTTCACCTGTACGCTGAACCGGATTCAGCACCCTTTAAGATGCCACCGGTTTGATTTTAGCTTATTTTTCTGATTTTATTGTTTGGAAAAAGTTAAATGTATTATAGAAGAGTTGAATACACGTAAGGGTTGACACATGCACAATGTGAGCATGCTTACAAATATAGTGCTTCAATAATTATGTTTTAACCGTTTGCTCACGAGACCTAACATACTTTGAAGAAATATCTCCCACCATTTGCCATGCAAGAGATAACATAACTAAGACAATCAGAAACCAAGGAATTGTATTATTATAGCCATCAAATCTAAAATGCATGTGTGTGTGTGTGTGTGTGTGTGTGTGTGTGTGTGTGTGTGTGTGTGTGTGTGTGTGTGTGTGTGTGTGTGTGTGTGTGTGTGAAACTGACTGTTTCTATGTTTGCTACAATCAGCTGGCTGTGGCAGCCATCTTGAACTGGATGGACTCCAGAAATGAATCAGCTGTAGATTTAGAACTGAGTCTCATAGTGAGTCCTCATCTTTTGCCAGCCATAGGCAGACTCACGCAGGACTCAGACAAGCAAAAACATCGTTTTGTCATCCATCACTGAAAAGAGAGCGGCTCAGGTCAGAATGGTGTTATAGATACAATGAAAATCAATGTGTTCATTTACAACACATTTCTAAATTTGGTTGATTGGGGTTTCTTTTTCAGCACACATACAAACGCATGCTCATCACAAGCTGCGGCATGCTTCTAGGAAGTTCCTGTGTCAGCTGTGCCTCTGTCTTTTCATGTTGGCAACACTTGAGCCACCTATACGATGGCCGGGAGTTAAAAAACAGGTTCTAATGCTTCTTGTTTTCTAGCTCCAGGCACAACGGTTTAACTATCCTAGTGACATTTCTCCATTTCAGCTCACCGTTCCTCGTTGGAGTTTCTGTGACCATGAATGATGTCCAACTGTACAGTTTTGTAGTTTTAGTTTTGAACAAAAACAAATTTCCTCTGCTGTCCAAAAGCCTGTCCTGACAAGATTTTAAGACTGGATAGTTCTACAGTGGCAGAAAGGAGTTCCGTTTGCTACAGATAAAAACCTGAAAAAGAAAATGTGATGAAACTTGCACTAGAACCCTGGCCTGACAAGCCATCCAGCAAACGTTAAGAATTAAGACCAAGATCTTTTGCTACTGCGATGGTTGGTCTGGATTTCTAGAATCCCAAATCAGACAACGTTTGGGCAGTGCGCAGGCATAAATATTAGGCTTGCACATAAAAAAGAATCATGTTTTGTCTTGACAATTTAAATTTTTTATATTATTTCTGCATTACAGTTTAGCAAATTCCGAATGTAAAGCCTGCAGGCATGTAGCTTGATAGTATTAAACTGTCATTTTAGCTGTCTTGTTGAAAGTAATCTATTGTAGGGGAAGCCAAATGCTTCCATGCCTTCCAGAGGAACTCTGATTAAAACAGATTTTCTTATTAATTTGTTGACAAATATATATTTTTTATTTTTGCTTCACAGACTCAGCTGCTTTTGTTCCAAATTAGTCTAATAACCCCTTCACACAGCTCTTACACTTTCTGATGTGAAGTGTGTGTGTGTGTGTGTGTGTGTGTGTGTGTGTGTGTGTGCATGCAGGAGTGTGCGTGCATGTGTGTGTGCATGCATGCAAGTGTCCGTGTATTTGTGCATGTGTGCGTGTGTGCATACATGTGTGTGTGCATGTGTGTGTGTCTGAGCGTGCATGTGTGTGTGTGCGTGCGTGCATGTTTTGCACAGATAACTATACTGATAAATTGAATAAAGCCGGTAAACTTGACTCCTCTGCCACCGTGGCCCCTTTGATGAAAACACAAAGGCACGTCGACAACCAGTAAGGCAGAAAAACCAGCAGGGTCTAAAAGCCTTCTACATAACAGCATTGAGCTGTACAAATAAGTCTAAAAAGTGAAATAAAAAAACGTTTATGGTGCTGAATTACTGATACAAGATTACATGACTGTATCAGTTTATTTTTTCTATTTGGATTGTTTACACAGGTAATGTTTGGCAATGTGCTTTTTGTTTTCTGGCCATGTTTAAAAAAGGGAAAAGTATATTCAAGTCCAGAAATCTCAAAAAGGATATATTCAAATAATAATTAATAATTCACTAAAATAGCTTTTTATGCACACAAACTGAAAATCTAAAACCGCCCCTTTCTGCTGAGCAGGATGTTAGCTGACATGTACAACATGTCTCTGCCGGCGTGTCTCCAGAAGAGTTGAAAGCTTCCACAATTAGTGAACAAGGATGGCCGTCCATGAAGAAGATGGAGCAGGGGGCCACCCCCTGTCAAGTGTCTGTACTTTCCCTCGAGCCTCTAACTGTGCTGCTACTCTCATGTCTCATGTCAGCAGTCTGATGCCCACACTGTAAACACACAACAGACCAGCTGAACTCACTCTGCTGGTGCTCATGGACACGTTTCACAGCATTTTGTTCCTGATGGAGACAACCCAAACATGAGCTAGTGTAAATAAAGAAGACACGTTAAGATGCAAACTGATGATCATTTGGCTATTCACGGTTTCATTATATTGGAGCTTTTGAATGGGATGTGTGGAACTGTGACCGTGTACCATCTGTAGACAAACGGCTCAGTTCTGCTCAGATGTATGAGCCAACAGAGGCACCATTTCCAAAATGGTTTGCTATTTTAACCCTCCCACTGTCCTAATGGGTGTGACTCCGTGAGGAAAGTTGACCATTGAGCAGGATTGACGGTTTATCCCTTGAGGTCCACGTGGCAGGGGTGAGGTGGTGCTCACTCCTCACCCCAGCCACATGGACCCAAGGGATAAACCATCAGCCCTGCTCAATGGTCAATTTTCCTCACGGGGTCACACCCATTAGGACAGTGGGAGGGTTAAAAACATAACCCTAACCTCAGAAATCAGCTCATGCACAGATTTTTTACAACATCCCTAAACAAGGGGAAGTAAAACAAATTAATGCACAGGATGAATTCAACCACAGAAGTCTGACCTGGTTGCTAACGCCTCTAGTGTACGGAGCAGGGTACTACAGCCCCAGAAAGGCCGTGATAAGTGAGTGTCGCCGTCTCTCTGTTTCCGTCCCTCAGTCGCACACACTGCTTCATCTACAGTTTAAGGAGTTAAGTTGTTAAGTTGTGGCAGGAAAACGCCAACGAATGCACAATCAACTTGGAGGCCAGCCTCCCTCTCCAAAAGGAGGCCCCAACAAAGAGAGGAGATGCTTTGTTGGCAGGAGGAAGGCCAATTGAAACACTAGGTTCTGTGTGACTGCAGGAGAGGATGGAGAAGAGGAGGAGATGGAGGCTAAAAGTAGTCCGAGTGCTGTGGTGGCTGAAGGGGTGGAGTTGTGGTGTAAACAAATGCATCACAGCATCCCAGGAGGAAAGAGCAGCAAAAGGCTCAAAGGTGAGGAAGAGCAGTAGTAAGGGAAATAAAAAACGTCAGAAAACAGAGTAGTTGAGCAGAACATGAAGAAGATAAAACAAACCTCAAAGTGAAGGATGAGAGCTAAGATGTGCGTTAGAAGCCTGAGAAAAAGGGCTGCCATTTATAGATGTATCTCATGGCTCATTAAAAAAAGGTGTTAGAAGGTTCCAGCAGAAACTTCGGTTTCATAAAGTCTTCAGCACCCAACAGTCACCAGTGAATGGAAAAAGCCAAAAGACAACTGGCTGTTCTGATAAAAATACATTAGAAATATTTCTGGTCCATCAGTGTAACATCAGACATTTTTCAAAGTCTCACAAAAGTGCACAATCGTGAAAACACCTAAAGTGGACCTGTCTTACCCCATAACCATGACTGGTTCAGAGGGTAAGACAGGTTTACACAGTACTGGGATGGATGTGAATGAGATGAACCAGTTTTTTTTTTTTTTTTGCCAGATTTGATGAGCGTGATTTTACACATGAACACAACAAACTTGTATCAGCACTTCCCTCCGATAAGGTTGAGAACGCATGCCCAGAGATTAGCTTTAGTGTTGAAGATGTCCAGCAGCAGTTTAGTCAGCTAAAGCCTGACAAGGCAGCAGGCCCTGATGGTGTCCATCCATGCACCCTTAAAGTTTGTGCAGAGCAGCATTTTCATGTTGTCCCTGTCTGCTGCTAAAATTCCTGTAATGTGGAAAACTTCTTGTCTTGTGCCTATCCCTAAGAAAACAGGTGTCAGCTGTACGTTGTCCAATCTTAGGTCTATTGCGTTGACATCACACATAATGAAATGTTTTCAGAGAGTCGTCCTTAAAGGCCTAAGAGAACAGGTTGTTTCCTTC